AGAAGGTCACTGAAAGACAGTAACACCCAGCTCTTAGCAAGTCCCTGACACTACCACATCACCTGGGAAAGGGATCGTGCAACCAGGAGATACTAAAATCTTTCCAGCTCCTATTTCATTCTGCCCCTTCCCTTTTTAAATAGGGATTGAAAAGCAAAAAAGAACTCAAAAAGCAATAGCGACAATGCCTACGCCTGTCAAAACAAATGGCAAGCTCATGGAGACAGAAACTCTCCCACCTGTGCAGGGTTAGACAAATATCCACAGGAGTTTAACATGTAGGACAGAGCAGTGGGTGTCAGCATAAGCGATGAATCAGGGTTAGTCGGGGTTGCTGTGGGATTGTTCTGAATGCACATTATTGAGCTACATCCCTGAGCTCTGTACACAAAACCTACCTCAGGATCTACCAGCACTGAAGCTAAAGCTGGCAGAACGACAGACGGTGCTTCGCTCAGTGCCACCTGGCCATATGCAGAACTGAGCCTACCTCCTGCTCAAGTAAATGGTGAAAAAGAGCTCCAAAGTTCTGATATTTTAAGAAAATAAATAAATAATTTTGCCTCTTTAAAAGCAAACAAACAAAAATGAAACAAACAAAAAACACCAAAGAAACAACCGAAGAAAACCACAGCACAACTCCATGCTGCAAGATCCAGTAGGGATGACTGAAAAACACTAAGCCATGGGGAACCACATTTTGGCCACTGCCCCAGGTACCATTTTAGAACTGACCTCAGTAGAGATGAAACTTTCCTGTTTGAGGATATCACGACTTACTGTATCTTGAAAAGTTAGCAATGAAAAGCTGATGTGTTCTATCAAAGAGAACATACTGTCAACATATCACAGTTCCCCCCGAAAGAATTTTTCCTTACATGTAATTTTATGCTTGCTCAGCCCAGTACAAAAAAATTTATCTGTACAAGCCTGCATTTGTCCTTCTCCAAGATAATGCATTAACGGATTGCACCCAAGGAAGGTCCAATCAGCCTAGTCAGGATGGCAGGCAGTTTGGCCCCCACTTTTACCTCACAGATGTAGTGTTGCAATGGATCTAATAAACTTCTGAATTTTCCAGAGATATTTTACAGTTATCTTTGGAAGCAAAGCCAGCTGTCACCTCCTGATACATTTCTTTAAACGCACAGTACTCTACCCAGCAATATTTTATCTCTCTCCTGTACTGAGTCATTCACGATCCTTTCCGAGTTCATACTGGTTGCAACAGAGACCATGTTGACTACGTGCAAGTTCAGCAGAAGTTTGTAGCAGCAGGACAGCACAGTTCTAGATCACAGATGCATATTCAGTGTAGAACAGACAACAGAACTCTGTTGGGTGTTACAAGAAAATCCTTTCAAAGGCCAAACAAAACTAACTCTTGTTAATTCAGAATTTGATAGTTACACATACCATTATCATACAGACTAGATTCCTTTTCTCTTACCCTTATGCTCCATCTGTCTACTCTATCTTTTTGTATTAAAAGTTCATCGCTGTTAAGAATTAGATCTCCAAAACACGGTACAAATCTGACTCTTTTCCCATTTTTTTTGTGTGTGAAGGATCTAGAATAATGGAGCTCCATTGCTGCTGAGGGCATTTCAGCCATATGGCAGTATAAAAATTTAGTAGTAAAGGACAACTGAAGACAAAACCCAAAACAAACAAAAACCCTCCAAAATGATAGTTCCCAAATCCAACTCATGAAGAAGAAAACAGACATTCATGTTCACTCACCAGGGGCCCCTCCCCAGTAGCAAACCAATCTTTACTCAGATTTACAGAGAGCACTGTTGGGTCTAGCAGACTTGAAAGAGATATCCACACTTGGTTCTTTATCACCACAGCAGTTTCAATCAGTAATACTGTGTTTGCCTCCAAACCCATACCCAACTGGTAGGAACTGCAGAAACCACACTTTCTCTAGAAAGTATTTCCAAAAGAAACACTGACATATTCAAGCAGTACAGCTTCCTCAGATATCCTCAGTGTATAACAGCCTCTAACACTTGCATATATTCCACACTGTCGACAATACAGAGGGTTCCCTTCCCCTGATAAATCACCTCGTCACCTGGCCCAATACTAACCTTGGAAAGGGGGGAGTTAAGAGATTTCTGCTTGCTTTGCTCGGGCAGTCCGGGGGCTGCTGGGGACTGGCAGTTGCTGCCACCGGGTGGCTCAGTGCAGAGGGACAGCCACAATGATTTCAGGGGTCCAGACTCCCGTGGGCGCCCGCCGAGCTCTCGTGCACAGAAATACAACACGAGTCGAGGCACGCGATCCCCCTTTGCAAAGGAAGCTTTGTGACTGTTTCAGGCTGGAATTGAATCCTTCGCTTCCTTGTGCTAACCTTTCTGTAGGGGGTGGCATTGTCCAGATAAAGCTAGGAAAAGTGTTCTTTGGCACAAAAGAAAACACAGAAGACAGTGATGTATGTGAAAAAGGAAGGTTGTGCTGCAGCCTCTCAAAGAGGCTGGAGGCTATTTAAAATTCCTCTGAAGAGGGTTTCTAGTCAAAGCTGAAGCTATAAATTAAGCAACTCTTGGTGCATACTTGACACTCATTATAATTAGCATCACGAGGGAGAAAGAAGGAAGAAATGAAGAATGGCTTGAAATAGATCAAGACGGAGAATAAGTGAGCAGGGCCTGTAATCTAACCATTTAAATCACAGGACAACAAATTCCTCACCTATGGAAAGCTTTCTGAAGCTTTTCGTTTACTGTCTATATGTTGGATCTGAATCTCTTAACAAATTGCCCAGAAAGGGCAGGGAAAGGCAGTTACGTACAGCAGTGCCATTCTCAGAGACATAAAACTTGTACCTGCAAAAAACGTCCTCCCTGACTCTCAGGGAGTCTCACTCTAAAGTGACTGCCTTTGCACCCTCAGCCTTTGATTTCTTTACTGCACAAGGGTCAACAAGATTACAGACTCTATTTGCACCATACTTGCCAGTTCTTTCCAGTCAGTTTTCACTTAATTTTAGAAAGCAAACCAGCCAGACTTCAGTTGTAAAGTGGTAAAAGAGTTGATACAAGATGCTGACCATTTTTAGACCTGGAAAGAAATTTTCCTTCTTGTATTGCCAAGTTAGCAAAGGTTGATCACTGGCTTATCTTAGATAAGCTGTTCAGTTTACAGATTTAGAACATGGAAATATTTCACAATTTGTTAGTAAATCATTAGCTTTAAAGAACAGGTAGGACACAGCTTATTCACCTTCTAAAATTAGCAAACGAATTTGTAGCGAGGTTATTACTCTGTACTGCGCAGTGATCACTGAACAAAAATTTTAAATATACCAATAGTGAACTTCATGTTTTTTAATTCCCTAACTCTTTCCCCCCACCCCCCTTTTTTAAAAAAAAAGAAAAACAAAAAAAAACCAAAAAAAAACACTTCACAATCCCCATATGTGATAAGTGCCACAGGTTTGACCAACTAACTGCTGGTTTAGTTCACTACTATCTGGGGCTAATGATCAGAATAAAGATGTCTCAGAGCCTCTGAGGCACTGCTTAAAAGCCTGAGATTTCACTAGTAGAAAGAAGTAGACTGAAGTCTCCCTGCTTTGCTCTCTCCATCTGTCTCAAAGGAGGAGCACTAGAGAGATCTGAACTGAGAAAGGGTGCAGTTTCAGACACACATTATGCAGTGCTGTGGGGTGCTGTAACCAGTCGCACTGGATCTGCTGCAAATAACTGGTGGAGCAGATGTAGAGGAAATGAGGTAAGAGCCTCGCCACTAAGTTAATAAAGCTGAAACCTAGTTCTTATGTCCACTTAAGTCCACTTGTGGATTCTTCAGCCACTGGCATTGTATGATCAGTATTGGAAGAATTCATGCCAGGAATTCAGTCTCACGTGCTAATCACACTACGTTAGCTCACAGAGGAAAGATGATTTTAGCCCAAACCAGTTTAAATGGACATGCATTGTTTCCACATATAGTAAGAAAAATTTGGTTATTCACGCTCCACTCCTTCTGCACCTAGAAAGAACAAAAATAATTCCTTACTGTACTCATAAATAGCTGAATCATCCAAAATTTTAAGCTAGTCAGCCTTAATAAAATCCAAGTCACTTTTGCAGATGTAGAGTTTCCATTCCAAAATGTAATGGAGCTAAATATTACATTCACTGACAAATCTTCATCGTCTCCTGCGTTAACTTTTGTCTACTGCTTTTTTTTGTTTGTTTGTTTTTTGTTTTTGTGGAGTCCCACTACCATAAAACCTGTATAAAGCTGGAAAAACAAAGGTTTCCTGCTATTTCTCCCAGTCTTATTTCAGCAGAAGAGGCCAAAAATAGTATTGTTATTTGATATGAAAGCTATCAGCAAAACCTGTGAAAAAAAAAATCACAGCAAGAGGAACTCATCTAAAATCTAGGCCTCCAAGCATCCTCATGTGTCATCAGTCAGTTAGTCTATCCTTTTGCCACAAAATGAACTCTTATATCAGTTTACACAGTTACTTGTCTAACCTGTTTGTAAAGGCCAACTGTGATGAATCTCCACACTTTCTAGATGACGCATGCCACTGTTTCAGTATTTGTTTTAGGATTCCCCTAGCCAACATTTGAGTCTTTCTGCAATTTAAAGCAATTGCTGCTTGTTCTAGCCATCAGGGACAGAGAAAAGTTCATTTTCCCTCTCACCGCATACATCTTAAACTTTGTTGAAGACTTGCATTCACTCTTTCTCCTCTATAGTAACCAACTACAAATTTTTCTTCAGACATATATTTCACACCTTTGATCACTCTTTGTTTCTTCACCCTTTCCTCCACCTTTCCACATCTCTCTGGAACTGTACTGCCCATACTCAGGTAGATCAAAAGGATGTTGAAGGAGTTATTTCTTCTGTTTTTAGGAGAGAGGGAAAAAAAAACAACCACCACCTACAAGACTTAACAAAGCAACACCAATAAAAAACGCACAAAAGCAAAACAGATCAAGTAACATTTCCCAATTGTCTGAATAACTCACCAAATACTTCATTGTCCTCTGAAGACTGCTGTGTTAGTCTTGCTGCTTTTGGACTCTCTTTAGCTGCCTCTTCCACCTTGGTTTCAGCATTCTGTAACAAAAACATTTCTTCAGATTAGGTATTCTAAAGTCATCAACCAGAAACATTCTTCAAACATCTTAATTATGCAAAAATTATATTCTTAAGTGAAAACAGAAGCATTAACAGTGAGGGATTTGGTATCTTTTGGATTTCATATACATGTTTTGCAAAACACTCAGAAAACACAGATTTTCTGGTTTTGCTCTGCTTTGAGTTTTTTTCCTTTATCTTTTTTTTTTTTTTTTTTTTTTTTTTCCTACTTTCCAGTCATTTGCTCTTAAGTTTAAATAATTGCATTTTCTCTGCTGTTTCATTATGAAACATTTTCACCACTGTCTTCCTTGCACCTCTACTTATTTAAAGTTAAGCAAAACTCTCCCAAAAGATAAACATGGCTACATGTCCTATAACATACTCCTCCTTCTGGTTGACACTTTCTTTTTCCCTTATAATATAGCTAAATAAAAGTCTGTACAATTTTTAGAGAGGTTCTTTTTCCAAATATGATGAGATTTTCCTGCAAATTCTAAGGTAACCACAGAACTAATGGTGACGCTGTTAGTAAAATTACTGATGTGTCTGACTGTAACAGCAGATCACACGCAATTGTCTCCTCCTCTCTAATGCTGTATTTTTTTCCACAATGAAAGAGATTTAAAATTATTTCAGATTTTTTCTGATTTTTTTTTTTTTTTTATCAAGTTTCCCATGTGCCTACCCATCAAAGATCTCATCTTTGGAAAAAAAAAAAAATGTTGTTAGCAAATATGACCAAATCTAACCAATTTTAAGTTAATTTTTTTTCACCCTCTTATTTTATCCAAATTATCACCCTTTATATTTAAATCATGTTACAACAGCACTACAGGATATAAGAAGCAGGCCTAAAAAAGACATCTAAATTGGGTAGAATAAGAGCAAGATCTTTAAAAACCATGACAGGCTTCTAAGTTTCCATCTTTCTTTCTCATATTTTATTTCTTTCTACTGACATCTTCCAATGTTGACTTAGCGAACCAAGAGATCAGAAGATAATGCACAAATATTTCTCCTCACAAAGCAAAGGCAAGTGAGCTAGAGAGAGCTACTGTTGCTTGCGAGCAGCCATCCTCCAGTCTTTAACTACCGCACTGACCCTGTGAAGCACAAGCACTTACATGTTTCTGAAACAAATTTACCAATTAGCTATGTAGTGTTATACTGGGTCCAGAGATAGACCAACAGACTGACAAGATTCAAAGCATTTCATCCCCTAACTAGAAAAGCCTGAAATCTGTGCTAGAAAAGATCAAAACCTGTGCTAGGAAAGATCTAACCTGACAAATACTGAGTTTCAAAGTTATATTGCTACTAAAACCAAATAAACCACCTCATTCCACTAAAACAGCAACGAAAGAAGCTCCTCATGTTTTCAAAATGGTTTACTTTGTTACCCAAAAGAAATGTATATGCATGCTTGCAGCAATGCAGGCAGTAGACTGCATACATGATCAACTCTTGAGTGATGGATACCAAGTGACTGATGCGATATTAAATATTATTGGAAAGAGTTAACTATGAACTGGGGAAGAAAAAGAGGAACACAGAACACCTATGTTTTTGAAAGGGCAGGTACTGCTCTATTCAAGTACATGTTCATTTAGCAGACTTTTTATAATGTCTTGAAGAAATCACCTTTGTACAATTTATAATTTCTGACTTACATTTTGGAAGTGCTGCTATACAATCCATGAGAAATACTAGTTCTGCCTTTGGAATTGCAGCACACTTCCAATCTGTAAGCAGTCTCTTGCTTACCCTTGTTAATAACTGCACAGCAGATAAAATAAAACAATTTGACTAAGTCTTAGGAAGCCTAATGGTGTCACAGCAGCAGCAGACAAGAGTTAAGAAAAGCAGAAACAAGAAGAAAGGGGAGAAACTGTGCTTCAGAGGAAATGATCTGCAGAAGAGAAAGGATTCTACACTTTCTTGAGGTACCAAACTGAACATCCCAAGCAGAAAATCCATCAGCTATGAATCTCAACGCTGAGGAGACAGTCAGTTTTAGTAGATGCAAACCTCAGTTTGTGTTAACTAGAACTAGTGTCCTTCAGGAAGATGGTCACAAACCAGCAGTGAGTACACTGAGAGACAATTGGCTTTAGACAAGCAACTTTGTGATCAGCACAAATGCTTGAGCCCTGTCCCCGTGGCTATCCTGTGTTAGCTGCAGTGTGCAGGTGCTGTCCAAGAGGCACATGCCAAGGCCCATGGTGCCTGTACTGGCTTACAGAACCAGTAGAGGCCACTGGCTCAGTAACCCATGTATTAAAGTTGGGCTCTCCATCCTATTTTCCTTGCACCATAGCAAACAGCAACTCAGTTACATCATTTTTGTAAGAGATGGAGACCAGTTCTGAAAAAAGCAGAAGAGGACTTCTGCTACAATAGTGAGCCAAAAAGCAAAAAGCTCCCAGCCACCACTGTGCCACCATGGAAAAGACAAAATTCATGCAGTTAGATGAGCAAACAGAGTTCAGGGCTCTCCAAGATGAAGGGGACAACTGAAACTGTCATCAGAGCTATTGCTCCAGGTTGTGCAAAGATAGTGACTGTCAGCTCATTTTTTGGGTGTATTCCATCATACCTAGCGTACTGTAAAGCCAAAGGAGGGAGGTTGCTATTCTCTGTGCTCTTGTTCCTTTTAGGAAATGGCTGAGTCTGCAACTTGCTGCAAGACATCAGGAGCAGCAGCAACAAAACAGCTGGTACTCATAGACAGTACCTAGGAGTGAGTTGTCACACCGTGTTCTTTCTAGGGAGACATTCACATCCATTACTCTAAAAACATGTTTTTGGCATTCTCAGGAAAGCTAGAAAGACAGAGCCCTGAGATATTTTGGGTTGAGTTAAATCACCAGGGAAGACTACATAGCAGCTGTGTTGCCTGCTCCCTGGATGAGCTACATTGTTGGCGTTGACAGATGTCCGCTCCAAGATATCAACAGGAAAGCTGCCTGAGAATTTAAGTCTGAGACATGACAGTACATGGCTGGATGTAAATCTCTTTGGCATGGCTCCTTATCCAAAAAAAGCTAACTTTAAAAAGATTTCTTTTGCTTTATTATTTGCACTAAAAACTTACATGATACGTTGTTACTGGCATAGCTAATATTTTACTACCAAACCTGATACAAGAAAAGCACTGCAAAGGAGCAACTGATGACCCAGAAGCTCTAAAAACAATTTCTATACTAAAACAGATTTTAAAAGGCAAGATATAGGCAGTTGTTCAATTCTATTTTCTAGTGTCCCAAAAGTACTCAAATATCTCAGTCCTTCCAGCCAATAAACAGAAAGTGAAAACATATCCCTTTACACTTCCTGAGCTGTACCAGGATGGATTCATTACCTACAGTGATAAAGTGCTTGTGGCAGGTCGTAAAATAAAGGCCCTTTGTACCTATCATAGTAAATGTAATGCTATCTAGATCTGACTTGCAGGTTCAGCACTCACTGCAATTTTAGGAGTAACTGGCAAAATAAATTTATTTTATAGGATTAGTTCCCCCAAACTATAGATTACATCAGATTTAGGTCTATATAGTTAAATGAAGTTCACAGAAACTCCCCCTCTCTATCCAAAGCACTCCCACAAAAATTTGCTTCAAAACAGATTTCAAGTAGGGTTTCCTGAGATGAGAAAGGCACTCTGTGTGTGCTTAGATGCTTTCAAAGCCTCCGACCTGCACTTTGGGGAAGTGAGGAAGACACTCCCATCTCTGCTGGTGCTCTGACATCAGAAGAAAAACTGCAAAGGTCATTACCAAAGCACAGTGGAGCTGCATTTCTCTTGGGAATCAGGCCAACCTTGGTCCAAAATGCCATAAAAACAAACAAACAAATAAACAAACAAAAAACCTAGCACCTAGTATATCTTAACAGCAAGTCACAGCAAGCTGTCACAGTCTAGAAATACTTGTGCCATTTTACAAAGCAGTTGCAAAATAAGATGTGTGTATACACTGTAACTGCATATATGCAGATGTGTATATATAACAGCTGCTCTTTCCTCAGCTTCAATAATACTGAAACCTGTGTTATAATCTGCTACAAGACACTTTTGGCCCAGTTTCCCATTGTGGCAGATCACCAGTTCCTCCAGACTCTGTTTACCTGCCTTCCATCACGTTTGATGCATCCCATCACGTCTCAAGAGAGCACTCCAGTCTCTATACTAAAAAACATTTCACAATCTTTTATATGTAAATATACAAATGACTGCCAGCTATCAAAATATTTGCCACAACTAATACTGATATGAAAATCATGTTCTGGCTGTGTACACACATATTAGTGCAAGAAGCAAGGCTGGTTTGTATTTTGCTGCTATCGGTGACTATTTAGAGGATCTTTAACAAATAGGAAATATTAAGAAATGCTGAGTTACAATGCTAAGTGTTCTGCAGACTCTACAGTGGCAGGCCACTGTGAAGCATGTTGCATTTACCAAACCAGCTCATTTTCTCAAGAAAATTTAAGTCTCGGAAGTGAGAATTGTGCTGTTGAGTACTCAAGCCAACTTTTTAAGCTCCCTTGCCATTTTGCATACTAGTTAGAAACAGCTCATTTCTTTTCCTTTCACCATAAAACTATTACTTGAAGACTTTGTTTTGCAAAGGAAAAACATAGACAAATCAAAACTTCTCATCAGAAATCAAACAAGCCTTCAAGCGGAATTAGTGTTTTATCCAAGAGAATTAAAGAAATCTGTGAAATCCTATCCAAAGTATAGTTTTGTGTTGTCTGTGCTGACATCCACCCCTGCCTTGTACAAGAAATTCTGTTCTCTTATTATGTGCTCAGTCTGCTTAGCTCCAACCCAAAGACAAAAAGGAAAATATACTTGTTTCCTTTATTTTTCAGTACCATACTGACATCAGAAGCTCTAATTGCAGCAAAACACCACAGACTGTGAATATCCATCTCTCCATTTCTGTGTGTCCTTCCTTCATTACTGCCCACAG